ACAATTTAAATTATTATTGATATCGATATTTATCACAACAAAAAGTAAAATTTTTAAGTGACAAGCAATTTTATTGTAAAAAATATCAAATAATAGTGATCACTTTATATGTCTTCACTTTCATAAAATTTCCTACCAAGAAAATAATTGACGCCAATTTACGTATTCCAATAGTGTCAAAATGTTTGTGATTGTGAAATTTGTGTCAAAATTATATGCTTTTATAGTGAGAATTTAATTGTAGAAAAAATTAATCATCATAGTTATTACTATAATTGTGACAAAATAAAAATACATCACATTTATTTTATTAATAGTGTCGTGCAAAATTTTTGTCATCAAAAGTTTAATATTTGTGATATTAATTTGTTAATGAAAACATTTATTCTTATAGTGATACTTGTGAGGTAATTTAAGAGTATCACAAGTATATCATTATAAAATGATAAACTTACTAGTGAAAAAAGTTGTTATTGTCACAATTATAAATAATAGTGACCACTTAATATGTTATAACTATTAATTTGTTTATTTAAAAAAAAGTTGATGTCATTTCAAGCATTTTATTAGTGATCAAATAGAAGTAGGACAACTATTCACTTAAATCGTGACAAAAATAATTGTTGTCACAAATCACCAACTAAGATTAGTGATAAAATGTTTTCATCACAATTATAAATAATAATAGTGACTACTTAATATGTTGTCACCATTACAACTTTTCCCGCAAAAAAATAAGTTGGCTTCAATTTGAACATTCTATTAGTGACTAATTGATAATGATAACTTGCTATGGCCACACTAAAACACAATTAGTGACGAATTACTTGTTATGAACTTTAAAATTGCCACAATTATTATCTAAAGAGTGACAAACTAGAAATAAGTCACAACTACTCATTTTAAAAGTGACAAGAATAATTTTCGTCACAAATATTAATTCTTGGGGAGAGATCTCAAGTACAATACCTATCTTAAGGTATTAAACCTCGGGACAAGTATTAACACTTTGATGAACTTATTGATACTCTATACTCAGAATCGATACTTATAACCCGGAACTTCACTTGGAATATATAGGGTATCAATACCCATCAATACCTAAACCTAGAAAATATAATAATGAATTTTGACATGTTCTACGCAACAAAAAATTTATCACTCAAGGCATAATTTCTTATGTTAAAACTAAGAGTGACTTAAAGCATACATTAGACAATCTGTAACATCTTTAGATATTTTAATCGAATTATTTTAGTCGAATAATGCACTCTATGTGATGAAGTCATCCTTAAAAATATATTTTCTTATCAACGAAAGATTATCACGACAACAACTCTTTTCTTGTGAGTATATATATAACATGCTTTCTGGGTGAATTCTCTTCTTATCATTTTACACTTAAAAACTATCTACCATTTTCTATTAATATCTTGATACCATAGAGTAAACCGAAACAAGGTATATTTCATAACTAATAGATAAACATACGCAAATTACAACAAGTGACATAAACTCACGAGAAAAAATATTATAAACTGAGTTTGATAGGATGTAGGAGATGATGGGTTCACAACTTGCTCCTCAATCAATTGAAGTTGGATCAGCATTGCTTTCTTTTGCAGCCCACTAACGAACTCTCTCTTTCTCTCTATGTTCCCTTGTCATTAGCTGTGTCTTCTGAAGGAGAAAAATGGGAGTATCCAAAGGATCTTGATGAAGGCTAGGTGCATACTATAATCTGTTCGTTCTTTTAGTACTGTTATGTTAATGATATTACACCAAGAGGATGAAACAGGTTGACAAGTTGTGTAACAAGGTTGGAATAATTTTCATGATTGTGGTCGTAATTTTTAGTGAGATATTGTAGCAGTCATAGTTTCAGCATGAACCTATCAAATGATATTAGTGATAAAAAAATATTTATTAGGTTTAAACAACTGTGTCACGATGTATGTTATCTCAATTGAAAGTACAAACGTGAAAGCCCTGTATAGAAGGGCCCAAACATACATCCAAACGGCAGAGTTTGATGTCAAGAAAGCACTTGAGCTATAATAATAAAATCACTAATAAAAATTTAACCGATAATCCAATTTGAAATTTTAACAAAAGTTATAAATGAAAATAAGTTATATCGATAAGAAGGTAGACGAAATTTTGTAAGTCTTAAAGGGACGTTTGAAAAGTCGCATTGTAATTGGATTTATGTGTAATGATACAATTTTAATGCGTTTAGACAACTATGATAATTTATTAGTCTTGTTGAATCGAATTTAATTTAAAGCCTCTTATTACACTCTTTAATTCTTAGGAGAGATATAAAAATTAACTATGTAATTAAAAATACTGAAATATCAAATTCAACACCATTTGGTCTATATAAAGTTGGTGCTAAACATGACAAGCCAATAACGCTAACTGTGATTCCGCTCTTCTATGTTGGATTCTTCCCTTGTTACGTTTGGTCCGGAGGATTTTACAAGCTTATTGATGATTCTGTGGAATATCTGGAATTGAAGGAATTCGATAGTCCATGAAGGTAGAGTACAACCTCCCAGGATCTTGGTAGGCAATGCTCGTCTTCTCCATAATGAATTTCTGGCGGCTTATCGAGCTAACAGTGATCAGCGTTTTCGGCCTGCCGATTTGGAGCATTGGTTGCTCCCGCCAGATGGCACCGTAAAGATAATTGAGAAGTTCTTATGTTCCTACTACCCGACGAGCAGCGATTGGAATGGTTGTCCGTAATTCCCACGGCGTAATTCTTGGTAGGCTAGCCATTACATCTGCTGGTTGCTTTGACGATGGCCTTGCGGAAGTTAATTAAGCAGTTGAGGAAGAGTGGCCATCTTTCATTTTTTATCACGATTCCTCGGTCATGGTTAACAAATTCAATAGCGTTGATGCCGATGTTTCCACACTTGGAGTTCACATGAGGTCGATTCGTGCTAAATGTATTAATTTTTCTCATTGTTCTGTTTTGTATGTAAATCGTACAGCGAACGTAGTGGCGCATTCGCTTGCTACGACAACTCTACGATCTAATGTGTCTTATTATTTTGACTCAAATTACCTCGAGTTTATCATACCAGGTGTAACGAACGATATGTTTCCTATGTATCAATGGATTCATGGGCACTCTTTCTGCCTTATAGGACTCCAACATCACGTAGAAGAAACTTTTAATGAGGCCCTTTAATTTTCAAAAAAAAAAACAATAACGCTAAAAGCATTTCCACCAGTTCATTAACACAGAAAGAAAATAAGTGCAAATTAATGATGGCTATACACATCAAAAAGAAATATCCTACTTTTTTTTACAAACGAGACTGCAGCAGCATGATAATAAAAAAGAATTGCATGTATTGAAATTAATATTTTTAATATAATATTTCAATTATTCAATTTTTATTTATATATTTAAAATTAATCAGTGTTAAATAATTTGAATCTCTATTTTTTATATATTTTTTAATAGTTCGAGTGACTACAAAATAGTATATATTAAGAATTTTTCTTAAATATTGATCACGCATACACACCATGCAGATACAATTGCTTGAAACCAAAACTTCTAGAGAGAACAATAATTCTAACTTGATATGAGAAAAATGAATGTTAAAATTGATCGTGCGAATCACATGAACTAAATCTCAAAATTAAAAACCTCATTGAAAGGCAATGAGAAACTTTGAAATGCAGAAAAATAAAACACATGGTTATAGTTGGAGAGCATGAAATAATGCATGGTAGGTGAAACAAATGATGGGGGCAAGGATTGTTTCTTTTTCGCACTCTATTTTTTCACCTTCCCAACCATAATTAAAAAAAACACCAACCAAAGTTAAAATTAGTGCCCCCAAGAAAGGCTTGTAAAGGGTGAAAGCAACGCTAAAATAGGGACAATGACTTTGTTAATGGGACACCTACCTTAATCATCATTTAGATAGTGCCCTACAACATCAACCAATTGCCTTCCAAATATCCCACCCCCATCCCTTCAAAGCATTCTTTAATCTTAGTTGTGGAGACTTGGTGTGGCTTTTCTTCTTTCTTTTGGTCAGCACTATTGATTTGGGGGAATTGAGAGTTTGTCTAGCAAATGGATTTCAGTGTTTGATTACGACTTTTTACCAAAGTCCCGTAGATCAAACTTACATATAATGCTGGAAGCATTATAGATAATAACAGATGCAAGATTTTATATTAGAGGAACGAATTTTTAAAAAATTGATGAACATCTATCCGTTGCTAATTCTATTTTAAAAATTTGGAAAACCACATCCAAAAGCATTTTTCCTTTCTAATTAAACAAATTCTAATATGCATGGCACCGAAATTTTACTTGCCTACCTCAAATAATAATTTAACTTCCTCGGTTGCTTAGATGGTTTTTATTTTATCGTTTTAAATATCAAATCATATTTTTGTTACTAGAATTAACGATAGAAAGATCAAATTATATTGAACCGATAATGTAAGTGATTAAAATATTAATTTTTAAAAAGATCAGAATAGAACATAGAAAAAAATATAAAAGACCACATGTAATGTTTACCCTTAATTTAAAAACTTCCAAGTACTTCAACTTTGAATAGTTGTGAAAAATGAATTTAAATTTAAGAATATATAATTATCATAAGAAAAAAATAGAGTAATCCAATATTTAGGTCTTAGATCACATAATTGTATTGTCTTGACATCTTGAATTGAGTTGTTAAATCAAAAAAATGTCTTATAGTTCATATTCTAGACATTTATGAGATTCCCAAGATGCATGGGTTTGAGTTGACTACAGCTCAGCTCTAAATTAGACTTTTTGCTTGTGATTAAAAATAACAAAACAATTACAGCTGCTTAAAACTTAACACTAATCTTGTCCTCCAGATTACGCCATCTAAATTCATGATTCTTACATTCGTCTGATGATTAAAATCATTAATTATCTTACAAATTTTGCTAATAAGAATACATTGGTAAACCCCAAAAAAAATACAAAAGGGCAAAGAATCCTCCAAGCATTAGTTCATGCACCTGCTCCATTTTCAATTTCTATACAGCGGCCGTGGTCGCCTTTTCTGAGCTTTAGTCCTGGATTATCAGAGCTCAACATGATTTTACCCTGCAATAAAACAATTGATTATCTATTTCTAATTCATTTAAATATAATGTAAAAAAAATCTTAATCACAAAGAAATGATTTTTCTTACCCTGGAAATTCTCTGATAGTAATCCCATTTCTCTGCTTTGATTTTGGGCAAACCCCATTTCAGCTATCGTCTGCAGGTCACCCTCACAAAATGCTGGGAGCCATGATTTTACGAATTTGTTTTGTTTTCCCATTAGAACAAATTCCAGACCTTGTTGCAGCCTGGAACAAGATTCTGCAGAAGCTTTATTCTCTCACTGATTTTCTCTCTACGGACCTATGAAACGATTGATAATATTCAATGTAAAATGCTTTGAATTGAGAGGGGGGGGGGGGAAACTGGGTTTTGTGATTCTCACTCTTTCAGCTAAGCTATGGCTGTCGGTGGCTTGACCCCTTCTTGCTCTAACGTGAATGTAGTCTTTGGGAGGATCAGGAGGCTCTGTGTCATTGCCCTCAGTTGACTTGCATCGCTTCTCGTTTGATTCTTCGTTTTGTTCAGTCGCCTGGAAATCGATGAATTAGATTGTGGACACCCGTTTTTGTCCGAGTCTTTTATATTTATATTTATTTTTATTTTATTATTATTTTTTATTATTAATTATTATTAACTATTATTATTAATTTTACATATTACATTTTTTTGCAGGCTTAGAAGCCCAATTCAGATTACAAAGGCCCAATCCCGGAGCCCAACAACCCAGACCTGCGGCCCAGCAATCGGCCCAAACCCGTTAGGGTTACCCCTTCTCTGCCTCAGCGCCGCACCATCAAGACCGTCTGATCTGGACCCATCCAATGGTCCAGATCAAAGGCCATTTAGGTCTGAAGCCCTAACCGTTCAGTAGCCGTCGCCCTCAACAGAGGAAATGTCACGCCGCCGCCGCAAGTTCCGGCCCACTCCGATGATCTAGTCACTGTTACCCCACCACCATCGTCATCTACAGTGAAACATATCACCAAATCAGTATATATTTCATCTACAGTAGCCTAAATCCGAGAATCCATTTAAAAACAGATTAAATCCCGAAAAATCGGGATGTAATCATGAAAAGTCAGTGAGACCCATCTCCTATTTTTTCTAGATATCATCATCTCACCAAATACTCAACATAAATCAAGGAAACGAAACCAGAAAGAAAAGAAAAAAACGAAAAAATACAGAGAGAAATTCGAAACAAAAAAAAAAAGAGAAGAAAGAAAAGTTTTACCTTCTCTAACCACCACCGTGAATCTCGCTGTGACCTTCTCCGATCCCAGCTAGCCCCATATCTGAAGGTAAAGCCTTTGTTTTTCTGGTTTTGGGGGGGGTTGGTTTCGGGTGGTATAAGTTGTGGGTTTGGGTTCTAGAGGTCGGGTTTCAAAGGAGAGGTCGTTCGTGGGGGATGGTTGATCGGTTTAGGTTTAGTGGCCACTGATTAGCGGTTGCAGGAGGCTTGGTCGCCTCCCATGGCGGTGAGCCAAGGGAGAGTTCTCTCCCACGGGTTGAGTCTGCGGCTGAGAAAAAAGAAATGAGAAGGGTTAGGTTTCTCAACCCTTAAGGTGGTTTATAACCACCGAATGGAACGCACCGTTTCGGTCCCTCCCCCATTCCGTGTTTTTACATTTAGGGTTAATCACATTTTAGGTCCCTCAAGCTTTTGTAAGGGTTGTAATCTGATCACTAAATGAAATCCATGCAATCTTATTTCGAGCCTATAGTTTTATTTTGTTTTATTTGAATCACTAGTTTATATATTATGTATGTTTTATGATCTTCGAATTTGGACATGTGATTTATGTTTTTCTTCATTTTGGTCACTGGACTGGTTATTGTTAATATTTTTGAAAGTTTAGACATTGTACTATTTATTTATGAAACTTTTATCTTGATCACTACTCTCATATTTTGGGTTAAATATCGATTAATGTCTGTTTATTTTACTTTCATTATATTTTAGTCCTTATCTGGTTTATTATTACATTTTTATTAGAGTTCGAATTTGGCCATATTATTTTATGCATGTTTCGTTTTAGTCCCTGTTTAACATTTGGCTTAATTGTGGTTTAGTTCTTTATGTTTTTTTCATTTCATTTTGGTCCCTAATATGATTTATGGTTTATTTGTTTTACTGTTTTTTAATATTTGTTAATTATATTTTAGCCCCTTAAATGTTTTAATATTTATTTTGGTCTGTAATATTTACTAATTTGTATTTTAGCCATTTATGTATGGATGTGCATTTTACTCATTAGATGATTATTGGTATTGTGTTTACTTTAATTTAATATAAATCTTTGTATTTCCAATCACATTTATTTTCATTATATTTTTATCTATGTAAGAAATATTCGATTATATTTTCAAGAACACGTATGCGTAGAATGGGCGTGGAAAGTACCACTTGGTCGAAGTGGTACGATCCGATACGGCATTTTAACGACATAGGGACTTGTAACAAGTCGAGTATATTTTACTAATTAATTTATTAAAATGATGTAATGTGTGGTACCTTAAGTGACGCTCACTTTATTTTATGTGAATGTAAATTTTAAATTTTCATTTTATATTCGATACACGTTTCAAATAAATGATGAGAGAATATTCTTTAAAAGATAAGAAATAGACGAGTTAATTTTCCCGACGGAGGATTGTTAATCTCGAGATTTCTTTTCAAATTAAAGAATTTTCTCTGATAAAATAATTCGAAGTAAATTAATTAAATCTCAATAAACAAATCATATTTTAGTTTTATATTCAATTTGTAATTTCCACCATTTACGACGATGTGTAAGCTACACAGTACCAATTTTGGGCGTTGTGGGGGTGTTTACCCTTCCCCACACGTAACCGACTCCCGAACCTGTTTTAAATGAATCTTTGGTAACGTAGACCAAATTTTTGTCTTATAAAATTATTTTTCTTAAAATTATTTTTAAAAGACGTTTTTAGGTATTTGACCTACCTAACCCAAAGGTCGATGGCGACTCTTTTCAATCTTATTCAAATCCATTCAAAATCACCAAATTTTCCAAATTAAAGTCATAATTGTTTTTAAAAATACTATTTAATTGTTTTTTAAAAAAAATGGTTATGACAGCTTGGCGACTCTGCTGGGGACTTCTAGAGAGTCAGGCTGTCGGTCGCTTATATATGGTCGTTATGGTGGAAATTATAAGTTCGAATCTTTAGTAAAACTATGATCTATTTATTGAATTTTTATGTATTATTTTATCTCTTTATTTTTATATACTAACATTTTAATTGTTTTCATTTTTTTCAGATATTTCTTAGTTCTCGTTGGGTGTTTTTTTTCCCCTGTTTTTGAGTCAAAGGTTTGTTTGTTTCTCCTCACACACATCACTTTCATTAGCATAACATGAGCTCTAGACATGAGTTTCGATCCAAATTAGTTAGGGTGATTGCTTTACTCTCGTAAGAATTTATTCTTCGTATGAGTTTTAGCAAATAACCCATGGGATACATACCTTATACCTTCGTAGGAATTTATTCCTCGTATGAGTATAAGGCTGTGAATCCCCTCGAATTGAACTCGGTCTGTTTGAAACCTGTAATGGGTGAGGATTGAGGGTTTGGTAGCCCAAGGGGGCACTGACATCAAGGACAATTCGAGTTCCTTTTTTCCTGTTAGAGCTGAAACCATGCATATAGTGAACCATAGAACGGTCACACTAGGTAGAGTCATACTGAACCTCGATCCGTCAATAGGTACCCAAAATAGGCGTACACAATGGAGAAACCCTCTAACCTTTTTATTTTATTTTATTTATTTATTTTTGAGTGTGTAGAATAGATTTATTCTGTTAAAGCATGTGAAATAGAATTTAGGTGCAGTTAGAATTTAATTAATTTAGGAGGGTAGAGAGCATGTTTGGGTAGGACCCTTTTTGAGGAATATTATTCGGGTAGATAATACATAAATAGAATAGATTTATTTCCCGTTTTACTTATCTTTTTATGTTAAATTTATGCAATTGTTTTGACTAACTGTTTTGTTTGTTTTGTTTATTTTTTTCATACTGCATAGACATATCATTAGAAAAGGCGATTGATCTGTGAGTATCGATAAAGTGGAAAGACTTTCACGATGGAAAGGAGTTTCCTAAACAAAGAAGTGAATCCAGCAGATGTAAGGAACTGGTCCGAAGCCAAGCAGAAAGAGCAGGGAGATAGTCTATCAGGGAACTACGTGTCAGATCTGTCTGATTATGCACCAGCTTCTTTAAAACAGAATGAGCTTCAGGGATTGAAAACCATTTGGGAAAGTTGGAATCTTATTGAGAGGCAAGCTTTTCAGCAGACTTATGGGGATATATTTCATCTTATATACGTGAAGGTAGACCCGGTTCTCATACGAAGCATAATACAGTTTTGGAATCCGGCCTATAGTTGTTTCACATTCAACCGAGAGGACATGACTCCAACCCTCGAGGAATACCAATTTCTGTTGAATCTGACAAGCGTTAAAGTGGACAAAGTTTACTCCCGGTCGATAAAAGGGCCTTCTTTTAAGTCAAAACTTGCAAAGATCTCGGGCACAAGCGACAAATGGGTAAATGATCGCTTGCAACGCAAGGGAGAAAGTGAGGGAGTGCCGTGGTCTCACTTACAAAAGATAGCTGAAGCACACGTAGATGAAAACGTGCGTAGAGATGTATTTGCTTTGGGTATATATGGTTTGGTAATCTTTCCAAAATGTTTGGGATTGATCGAGCTAGCAGTAGTCGATTTGGTTGAGAAGTTAGGAAGAGAGGTGAATCCGGTCCATGCAATTCTTGCTGAAACTTTCCGATCTTTGAATATATGTAGAAGGTTGGGGGGAGGTCGTTTTATGGGTTGTGCTCAATTGCTTACTGTGTGGATCAGAAGCCATTTCTGGAAGGAAGAAAAAGTCAACTATAACCGTTTTTTGAAAGATTATTCTCCTGTTGCTGAGTACCTTATGAAGGAGTGGCCTGAAGTATCTCAGAAAGATCAATGGATTGATTTCTTCCGGAATCTACAGAGTCAAAACATAGCATGGCGAACACCGTGGCTGATGCATACACAAATCTTATTCAAGTGTGGAGATTTGGACTGGATTATATTACTGGGACTGTGGGGAGGAGTGGGATACGCTCCTTTGTTGATATTGAGACAGTACGGTGCCCGACAGTTTGTTCCCGTGACTCATGGGTTGACTGGTGCTGAATTTGATTATAAAGAAGGCAATTATAGAAAGAAAATCAAAGATGTGGCTGATTCTTGGAGGATGACTTTTAGGACTAAAGTGGTTGGAGCGGATGTTATCTTGACGCCCGATTATGAAGCCTGGAGAATCAAGAGGATAAATGATAAAATACCTTTAACATCTGGAGAGGGATCAAGGTCGATAGAAGAACAAATCAGAAATATCCCTTCGAATTTGGAAATCCAAAGAATTGAGTTTGAAATGGAAAAGGCTAAAGATTCCAAGAAAATAGAAGAGATGGAGAGAGAAAACTTCATGTTGACTATCGAGGCTGA